TCACAACGATATTTCGAAAGTGTATCTGGCGCGGTGCCATTCCTCTTCTCCTTTTCTGTGAGAAACGTAAAAGAAGGGCACTTGTCCGAGTGGGAATTAATTTGCGTTGTTCCGCTATGGAAGGAAAAGGAAAGGGGGAGGGCGGGGGTGGGTGTCGTCGTTGTGGAGGATCCAAAGTTCTGCCGCCAAGGGCCGTGGGGCCTCAGCTGGTGTCGCGGGCGGGGAGAGAGAAGCTGTCGTCTATTTCACGTCTTCTTCTGACCGGACTCCGTCTGTTTCCCCAACTTACGTCAGCGCCGTAACGAGGAACGACCAACAGAAGTGGGTCCAGTCCACCACACTGGTAAAACAAGTGTTTACTTGTGCACGACAATTGATGTTTATGTTCAAGTGAGCATTTTATCGACACATTGTGGTGTCTAACTAGGTTAAACGTCATTTGGTGTTTAAATTTTCGACACTTCCGAAAAGTATCAGCTGCACACCATTTGGTCACTATTGATAGCATAGAACTGTGTGTGTCCAAGTGCGCAGAATTTAAACGTTTACAAAACGTCTAAAATGCGCACACTAAGCAAGTGTGCATTGTGCAACTTGTGTTAAAGACCATGTAATGTGCAGAATCATAACTTGCACACGTTAGTGTGCAATTTTTCACACTTACTTGTTTTACCAGTCCAGGTCTGAATGGGACTATAGAACGCGCTCGTATTCAGATTGTCCGACCTGTTTTTCTCCGACCTCGTCGATATGCTGCAATTGGTGAAGAATGTGCTTCAAAGACGAACAGGCTTCAGAGACCATGATGAAGGGGTAGGCTACTTTAAGTGCAGTGAGGGGAAGACCGCCACTATGAAGGAGTGTGCAGCCCAGCTGCAATGTCAGGTTCCGTCCGCCGAACCCCATCAGGAATTTACTGAGGGGCAGGTCAGGAGGAGGGACAATAAATAACACGAAATTGACTGTTTCCTTAACAATCACTGATATATGTTGTGTACCATTAAACTAGATGTGGCGTGGTTTGATGATGTGGGGTGGTTGCTGGCCACACGAACAACCAGAACAACAACAACAACAACAACCAGAACAACAACAACATCCCCTCGATAATGGAATTATTGATAACTGCGCTGGCCGGGCCGGCCGCCCTGGCCCCAGCCGAAAGTATCGGCGGGCGTTTGTTCTCGGCTCACCTATTGTCCGGCCGACCGCCATCGGGATTACGTACGATACGGCCGGCCCGCACTGCCGGGCCTGCCGAGCCGGGCACACCCCGCATGGAGCTCTCCGGCACAAGGAAAGAGTTCCCCATTCAGCGGCCCCGGCTCCGGCAGCCCCATGGGACCCTGTGCTGTGCACTTGTATGCGGGAGAAGGTTATTCCTGGCCCGCGAGTCAGTCCCATAGGGAGAAACAACGCCCCCGCTTACGGGGAAGAAGGAACATATGGAACGATGACCACCCCCTTGCCTCTGCATGCCCTTCCCGCCCAGTTGACCTTTCACGTCCCCCTCCGTCCCTCAGTGTCCACAATACGGGGACGGACGCGTCCGGCCGGGAGTGGAGGGACGTCCCCATCACCCGCCCTGCTCCCCTGCTGTCCTCCCTGATTAGAGCGCCCTTGTGGGTGGGGCTGTGATTGTTTATCGGACGGGGCGGGAGTAGGTAGTCGTGGGCCGTGTGAAACTGTACCTGTCGTTACAAAAGGCTTACAGGTCACTGGTACTGCCTGAGATTTCTGCAATACGCGAGACAATATGGGCAGTCATCGCGACGACAGGCGATCATTTTTAACAATGTAGATTCATACCTAATATGTAGTCGTGGTCGTCGAAGTTTAAGCCACTTTCTTGTGTTCATAATGCTCTCCAGTCTGCTCTTCTCTTTACGCCTCTCTTCGCACCCCCCCCTCCCCCTCGGCACATTCCAATGTCCGGCGCCCCAGTATGAGTTGGACGCCATGTAATGGAATTCCAGAGCAGATCGAGCGGTCTAGTTCCATCTGCTATCGACTCTTTTCCTCTCCGGTCCTCCCCCTCCCCTCCCGGACGCACACCTCTCCAGCTGTGAACAACCCCCGGGCGCTCAGCTAAGCTACCGCCACCGCCACCCTCACCCCACCTCACCCCTATCGGTCCCACCCGGTCACGTGGTATGTCGACAAGGAGGGCGTTCAGGTGCAATCTGGTTGGAGCTCGGGACCACCCCCCGGGCCACCTCGTGGTAAACGCCCCCTTCCACCCCGATCTTCCGCTCTACCGTTACCCTGACGCCCACTACTCTGGACCAGAAACAAATACTAGTCAAAAACCATAGCAAACTTTTATTTCAACAATTTTTGAATTCTTCTTCATGCCTTTTGCCTACAATCGAAAAGAACAGCTGCGCGTTCCATTTTATGAATCGCAGCCTCCACACGACTACTGGTCCCCCCGCCCCCTCGTACTTGCTAGCACATTCTCACCCTTCCTGTGTGGATCGATGCTCCTCGCTTCGTCCTGCGCTGCAGCCCCCCACCCCCGCTTTCGGTCATCCCCATCTGATCCTCTGATCTCCCCCTGCCCCCCTCCGCCCTCATCTATACCCGCCTAATCAGCTTCCCCCATAGATTTCAATCAGAACTATGAAAATGAGCAGCGAACCCTGGGATGAGCAAAACTGAAACTTGCGCAACGCGCATCGCGGCGCGGCCTCTGGGCTAGTCTCAAAGTTGTTGTCTTAGACCGGCCAGAGATGAGGATTCCGAAGCGGCTAAAACGGGACTGATGAGGGAAACAATCTTGGGCGCAAACTTGTCCTTTGTTGTTGCTGTTTAACCCTTCCCCGCCGTACCCTCTAATAAATAGTTGCGAATTTTAATCAGGCCGAATATTCCTTGAATGGTACATGACAGAAATTTCTACGTTGCGCTGAGTTACACAAAAAGTGGCAATTTTTTTTTTAATGTGAATAATGTTTTCGGTTAGTGGTGACCTTGTGACTGCTCTGACTGAGTGCGTGTACCACGAGCCCTGCGGTCTGCAGCCAACAAGCGGCAGTGGACGGCAGGGGCGGCATAGGAAAAAGCGGGGGGGAGGGTATGTCCTTGTCCTGAGCGACCACTTGTGGATCGGGGTACAAGGGGCAGGGGGCGGCAGCGCGGGACTCTTGTGTTTATGACTGTTTCGTCCCGGTCCCCCGCGCCTGGCTCGGCAGCAGCCGGCGCAAGGCGGACCTGGCGGAACGCCACCGGCCAGTCAGTGGGAGCTGAGCAACGGCCCGGACCGGACGACGGTCCGCTCAGCAACGGAATTGGATTTGCAAACGGATTTTGCCGTCTCAGTCATGCGGCTTCCGCCCGCGCCAGGCCTGTCGCACACTGTTAAAAGGTCACGGTGAATTTCACCGTAAGCTACAGTGAACCCTGCAGCACTGTAGCTTACGGTCAATTTTCACTGTCCGAAAGTGAAATTCACCGTAAGTGCAGTGTGGCTGTGGGCCTCACGGCCGCTTCTGTTCCGGCTCGGTCCGTCACCGTCCACTCGAGATGCGTCCTATGCTGGGGTAGAGATGGAACTGACAATAATTGTTTATTATTACAACTACTTTGCGCTAAGAAAGTTTTAGGTGTAATTGTTGGTCATCGCTTTTACAAATAAAAAAATTTTTGCAGCTATATTTTTATTCAATAATAATTGTGGTTTGCATGATCTTATTTCGCTTAAAATTGCTTTTGGTGTTTTTTTACTTTCTAAATTGTTAAGAACCTCTAGACTCTATGTAGATTCAAATTTTGTCGATTATGAGCTTTTTCTTTGTTAAAACTGTAGGTTTCGGTGGCTTAAATGTCTATCAATCCTATTGTGAAGTAAAAACAATAAATAAAGTAGGTAAACTAAAATACAAATAAATAACACGGTCCTGGGTGAGGTTTTATGGGTTAATCGAGTGGTCCGCGTAGAGTTACTTACACGAGTCCCGGACGCGGGTGTGTCACTAATATCCTTAGAAAGAACTGGCACGGTCTGGAATGCTCCGCATGAGCGCTGCCGCCGCCCTTGGGTGTCAACCCTTCTCAACCTCACGATCCCTCTCACCCGCCCGGGAGAGGCGCGCGTGGAATGCCAGGAGTCGCGTGTTGTGTGGATGCCCTGACACGGAGCATGTCCCCTCTGCTTTGTTTCGTTTGGGTTGGGGTTGTTGTTTGTTATATTTACCCCCTTTTTTACTACGTCCCTATAGTGGTGCGAATTTTTTCCCCATCAGTAATTAGTAATTTCGGTAATGTTTATTTGGTTTTTCATAGCACTATTCCCTATCCCTGGTCAGAACAGTTTCCAAGCATCATGAAGGCAACGTAGCTCACGAATGAGGGCATTGCACGGTGCCACGATGATCATAGAACGCTATTCTAGGCTGTGATACAAGACCACGAGCGCGCTATGGAGGGGCGGAGGCCGGGCTCTTGAACGTGATCTGCAAACACGATCACCGGTGTCAGTTTACGGAAGGGGAGGGAGGAGGACCGGGAATACTCGAAATAAAAACAGGAAAGGGAGGGTGGGGTGTGAACCTCACGAGGAGCACCACGTTTGGCTAACCAGGTAATTCGGGTCTCTTTCGAACAAAGTGAAACTAGCACTTTCCTGACGGTGACGTGTAATAGGGGGAGGGGGATTTAGGGAAGAACTGCACACGAAACACCGACCCTCTCTAGGTGAATGGATAGAGGCAGTTTTGTCCTCATTAAAATCCTCATTTTTCGGAGAAAGGGAGGGTGGGAGTAAGGAGTCGAAAATGTACTGGCGCGGCCGTCTCCTGAGACTGAGCCGCTCGTTGTTGTTGCAGCCGCTGTTGTCAGGCTGCACCACCCCACCCCGCC